GATTGGGCGTTAGCGGAGTTGGGTCACGACCATCTGCCGACACGTAGGACAGTGGCCGTGAGTTCATGAGCGCCTCCGCGCCGACGATAGCAGACAATAGCTCCTCGTCTGTGACCTCCGCGTTCTTCAGAATCGCCGAGATAGCACGCTTTGCCGATTTTACTAACGCCTCATGCACTCCGCCGAAATGTGGTGCTGCTGGAGGGTTGAAACGCCAGCTAGTCTGCTGATCCGCTGTCTGCCGCTGAATCGCCTCTGCATCAAGCTGCTTGACTAGCTGAGCAAGCTCATTGGTGGCGCCGACGAAATTCACGCCATTGTCGGAGATGACGTCGATCGGTACTCCCCGTCGATTGGTGAAGCGTACGTACGCCTGCAGGAACGAGTCCGTTGTCAACGCGTATGACAGCTCGAGATGCACTGCTCTCGTCTGCAAGCAGGTGAACAAGCACAGGTACCGCTTGTGTTGTGTCTTGCCGCGACCCTGCTTCGTCATAAGCGGTCCGGCATAGTCTACAGAGACTCGGCGAATGCGCGTAGCGGCAGGCTAACTCGGACCTTAGGTAGTGGCGCCATCACCTGCATTGCCGGCTTCGTACGGTTCCGGGCGCACCTCGCACACTTGGCTTCCCAAGCTCGCACCTCTTCGCGGCCAGCGACGATCCAGTAGCGCGACGAGAGTTTGGCTAGCGTATGGCTGACACCGAACGCGTGACATCCTCGTTCGTGGCATGCCTTGACAATCAGCTGTGTCACATGATCCCCTCGTGGTAGGACGATCGGATTGCGTTGTTCTGCAGTCAAGAAGTCTGCATGCTGTAGTCGACCTCCGACGCGTAGAAGGCCAGCGTCGTCAATCATTGGCTTGAGCGAGACCAGCTTGCTGGTTGCAGGGATCGGCTTGCCTGCCTTAACTGCAGCATACTCTGGTAGCGACTGTTGCTGCGCTCGCTTGATGTAGAACTCCTCAGAGTCTCGGATCGCTGGTGGCGATAATTCGTCAAACTCTCGTTGTGCGGGTGGTACTGAGCAATTCGTAGCGAATCGCACAAACCAAGCATGAACACGGCACATTCGTACCCAGTCGGAGTAGCGGCTTGGCTCTAGACGATTCAGCTCGCTGTGGCATTGGTCGACGGTCACCGCAGTCAGCTCGATGGACTCGTCCGTCGGTTGATTGACTTTCTTCAACTCCAGAGTTGACGGACGGGGCTTCAATTCTGGCTGAACTGGCCATTCACTTTCAGCGGCACCCAAGAAGCCGGGACCGTTCCACCATAAACTGCTTCCCGCCAACTCTTGCACTGGCATTCCTCGAGAGACCAGGTCGGCTGGATTGAGCGCGGTGGGCACGTACCGCCACTGGGTAGGATTGGTTTGCCGTTGAATCTCGCCCACTCGACTAGCCACAAACTGCTTGAAGGTGCGGCTGTAGTTGGTGATCCAGTGCAGAACGTTGCTGCTGTCCGACCATAGCGCCGTTGCTCGGGGGTCGAGGTTCAGTGACTCGGCGGATGATGTGGCGAGCGTTGCTCCGGTTGTCGCCGCCATTAGCTCAAGCCGCGGAACGCTGACAGCAGTCACTGGTGCCACACGGACCTTGCTTGCGACAAACCGTGCTGTCGGTTCTCCAGTGTCATAGTGACTGACCAGATACGCGACTGCTCCGTATGCGACCTCGGACGCATCTGAGAACACGTGAAGTGGCTGCTGATTGCTGTGCGTCCCGTGGCCGTCAGGCAGCGTGGTACATGTACTGTTGATAGCTCCGTCACCTGCTCAAGCCAGCCGAGAACCTTCTTGACGATTGCTGGGGGCAGTTGCTCATCCCATGCTGTTCCACAAAGCCACATCTCTTGCAGCAGGACCTTTGCTTGCACGAGGTACGGTGCGAGGAGTCCAAGTGGATCATACAAACTTGCTGTTGCACTGAGAAATGCGCGCTTCGTAGGATTTGAGCCGATCTCCGACAGCTGCAGCTGGAACGTAAACTGGTCCTCCTTGGCAAGCCAGAGGACTCCCAGTGTCTTGACATTCGGCAGCTCTCCCTTCGTGAGGTTGATCTCCTCAGCGCGATCCTCCTCCGGGATGGTCTGCAGTATCGTCGTGGAGTTGCTCTGCCATTTTCGCGGGTGCATACTGGCTTTGTGCCACAACGCCGACAGCTGCCTTACGAGCTCAACGCCTTCCTCATCGCTTCGAACAGAGTCCATGGAGTCATCCATGTACGTTGATTCAAGGACCGTTTCCGCTGCACGAGGATAGGTGTCGGCGTGCTGATGAGCATTGTGTCTAGCCGCGTACTGCGCTAGGAAAGGCACCGAAGACCACTCGATTGAACTCGTATGTGGCCGGTTCCTGCTCGTTATCCCGCCACAGAAAGCGATGGAAGGGCCTGTCCTCCGGAGCCAGGGATATCTGGAGATACATCTCCTGGATGTCGCAGATGATGGCGACCTTGTTCTGCCGTAAGCGCAGGAGTATCTTCGGTAGCGATTGCTGCAGCTTGGGACCAGCACTGATAACATCGTTCAGCGCTACACCATTGCTGATGTCAGCTGCGTCGAAAACCACACGTGTCTTCGTGGTGGCCTTATCTTCACGGATGATGGCGAAGTGTGGAAGGTACCATTCGTTTACAGAACCTCCACACTCGTTGTCAGGCACTCGTCGAATGTACCCGTTGGCTAGGTACTTGCGGATGACATCGCTGTACGCTGTTGCTGTCTGGACGTTCGGATTTCCAGGGTATGCCAACGCAGTAGCGGCCGTCCGTCACCTTCAACGACGCTGCAACTTTCTGCTCTGCCGCCTTGTCGTCGCGTGACATGAATCTCGTAGTGCTGCTGTTCACTTCTTCGATTTCCCACAGGCGCTTCAAGCTGCTCTGTAGGTCACCGTCGCTGAACATTGTGAAGCAGCAGCTCGCCGCTGGGTGTGCTGGTTGTACTTGGCCGATGCAAGTCCAACCTAATGCCGTCCGACGCGCCACGGGCTCATGGCTGTTACCCGAGCGCTCTTCATACGCCATGTGAAGCTCCGGATAGTCGGCACCGATAAGCACGTCAATGTGGCGTTTCGACGGTAGCGGCGGAAACTCAACGTTGGCTAGATGTGCGTACTGCTTTCCCAGGTGGTGCCAGTCTACAACTTCCATGTTGCCTGTTGGCTGCTCGATTGTGCACACATGGAGAGTCGTCGACGTGGCTCCGTCAACACTTCGCAGAGTGCACGATACTGGGACAGTGTGAATGGTCTCTTGCTGTCCATTCGGCTTGCTGATGGTCAGCGACATGCTTGATCCAACCAGGCCGAGTTCTGCCATAACATTGCTCGCTATGTACGAGCGCGTGCTGGCGTCGTCCAGCAGCGCGTTAACAGTTAGCGACCGCTTGCCGTTGGATAGCTGAACGGGAACTGTCCGAATCGACGTCACCGTCCGTACTCTATTCTCCTCTCCCTTCGTGCTGTTTCCGAGGGAGACAGCACTGAAGTTCTCCGGCTGCATGGCTCCAGTCTCTCCGGAGGCGTGGGTTGACGACGCTGGAGGCGGTTGACGGGGCTCACTGTGCAGCAGGCGATAGTGATGCTGCGTGCACCCGTTGATACCGCACTCCCGGTCCCGTGGGCAATCCTTGCCGCTATGTCCAGTCGCAAGGCATCTATAGCATGACTTGCTTCGCTTTGCTGCTGCCCAGCGCTGGCTTACAGTTTGTTTCTCAAACTCTGGGCAACGCCAGATCGGGTGCCCGCCGCCATTGCAGCATTGGCATGCAGGGCGCGAAATAACGGTCGGACATCGGACAATGTCCGACCGTTTACGGTCAATTTCCGGATGTTTTGTACACACCCGGACAAAGTGTCCACGCGCTTTTTTGCAAAGTACAAAAAAGAAAGGCACGTCAATCCTTTGTCTCATAGTACTAGTCATTAGTGATGTCGTCTGGCAAGAGTAAGCCAAGCACCGCTGATGCGGGTGCTCCTCTTGGAAAGAAGCCCAGAGGATTCAAGACGACCACTTGTGACAAGTGGGTCGCCGAGTATGATGGCGAGGTTTCAACTTCTGTTTGGCTGAGCTATGAGCGCAGTGACCCCAGTCCCTCAGATCGTAGCGTTGTCGAAAATTTGAAGTGTAAGATGTGTTCCCGTTTAGTTGATAAAATTCGCAGCAGAAAGAATTTTTCTGACTCCTTCGTCGTTGGCTCAAGGAACCTGAAAACGTCAGCCTTCAAAGATCATGCTGCTTCTGAAATGCATCGCCGTGCCATGGCATTGTTTGGCAAGGAGCAGTCAAGCGGAAACCCAATAGAGTATGCGCCAATCGCTCGAGCCTTGTGCAAACTTGACGACGCAGCAGCAGCCAAAGCTTGCAGTGGTAAAACAGTAACTACAACAATTTTAGTAATGCTCTTTTCACGTCGTGATAACATTTCGATGGTATTAATCTACACTGAACATTGTGTGATTTGATGTGAAAATTTGAATGTCCGGACATGTCCGGCCATTTTTGCAACTGGCAGGACATTGTGTCAGACCTCATTTTAATCCTTAGCGCATGCCCTGGGCATGTGGACCTTGCGGTCGGCACATTGCCAGCGGTGTTTGTAGCTGTTACGAACGTGGTCGTGCGCGGTTGCACAGCGTCGTGAGCAGTTGCCGTCCGAGTCGGCTGATTTCGACTTGTCCCGCTGGTTGACAATTGGCTTCTGACGTGATGCTGCTGGCTGATGCCTTCGATAGTTTCCGTGGCGGCAGCAAGAACTTCTGTCTCGGCATTCAGCCACTCCAGCAGCACCTCAACCGATTCGTCCTTTTGGTGGTGTACTATCCAGCGGCGATACTGGGCCAACAAGTTCACCGGCAGCTTCTGCTGGATCCGCTGGTAGAGAATGCCGGTACCTAGCTCGGTGTGCATACCGGCATCCTTTAACGTCACCACTGCCATGTCGAGCACATCGGTAAAGCGCTCCAGGTCCTGGGCTCTACCGGATCGAATAGGTGGAGATCGTTCCAGCTCTTCCATCCTAACCGCAAGGCGCCGGCGACTCCCACCGAAGCGTCGCTCCAGCCGCCGCAGAGCAGCATCGTATGCTGCTGCCGAGTAGCCGAGACTCTCGATGGCATCCAGTGCCTCACCCGCCACGTACTGTCGGAGCTGCAGCAGCTTGAATTCAGCAGAGAGCGGCTGCTGGTCCACACAAACGCTGAAAGCAGATTTCCAGCGCTCGTATTTTCGCTTCTCTCCGGTGAACACGGCAATTTCGATCCGCTTCAACTTGCTGGCGATGTTGATCTGTGCAGCTGCCGCTGGAGCAGTCCGTGGCGCAGGTCGAGCTGCGGTGCCTCCGACATATGTCGGAACTGGGGCGAATACTGAGGTCCGGGGTGCTTGCATGCCAGCGCTGGGTCTCGCACCGTACTGTGACGCTCCAGTAGAGATGGTGTGCGACGGTCCAGTAGACACAGGTGAGTTGTACATGACTGCACTATTGCTCGCACTCCACTGCGGTTGCTGTTGTTGGTACATGTATGCCTGCTGCGGCCTAGCACTATTGTTGCCATACGTTGCATACATCATACTAGGTGTTTGATCAGCAGGATCGTGGATCAGGAAGGCAGAGCCTTCTTCCTGATTTATAGCAGGAGCGTTGCTGCCCGTGGTCATAGTTGCAAATGACGCTGGCAGCACTGAACTACGTGGCTGGTACTCTGCGGCTGCTGCAGATAAAGCAGTGCATGCATTGCTGTTGATCATATCCGTTTGCGGTGGCGCGTGTGCTGACGCGGTTGCCATGGCAATGGTCGGGAAGGGTTCGGCAGGTACCCCCACACGCTGACCACTGAACATTACAACACGACTGTCTGGCTCTACTTTCACCCGTTCTCCATAGTCTGCAGCCCTGGGCAACATAACCCGCGCATCGTGCTGGCGACCAAGAAACGGTGCATCTTGGAGCGCCGCACGCAGATCTAGAATTTCTCTGCTTTCCTCTCGTACTGACGCCAGTAAAGGCGTTGCCCCTCTCAGTGGCGATTGCTTGGGACTGGGAGTCTGCCTGGTCGACCGCTGCCAGGCTCGCTCTGCTGCTCCTGATGAGCACACTCCTGGCCAATTCCATGGCATCGGAATACTGGCCTTCCAGCTGCTTGTACTGCTTCTGGAGACCAGCATGTCTCCTAGAGTCAGTGTCCACCACCGCTTCCATGTACTCCATGATGACCTTCTTGGTCTCGTCATACACTGTCGTCAAGTGGCTTCTCCATGCCTTTACGTCATCCTGGTTCGGCACCTCATTCGTTGACTCCACTGTCAAATTTCTCCTCGTATTTGTGAAATCCGTTTTCAGTTCTCGCTTTTTCCGTGCGAGGTCTTCTAGTTTTACCTCCATGATGGCTCCGTGAAAACCATCCTCTGCTACCAATAGTTTGGAGTTGACAGGAGGGCATGCACATCGAAACCACGCCTTGTCAACGACCCGTTCTTTCTCAGTTTTAACGACCACACTCAGCAAAAGAACAAAACAACAACGAAGCACAACGACACACCAACGCTGATGTGGCATCGCAAATCCCGTACCGACGTGCACGCACTCACGCAGGCACTGGGTTGCAACGGAAAAAAGACGCTCTGCAAGCGTGCCAAGCAGCGAGTGAGTACAGAACGCGTACTAATGCCAGTCACTAGTCATGGCAACGGAAGATAAAATTATGGAGATCGACCCGCGCATGGTTCGATCGAGAGCAGAGTACGAAAAAAGCACACATTCAAAGTTCAAACTGTGCAACAGAAGCAGAAGAGGAAAACGAAAATGAACACTTGTCGTGAAGTGAAGTGCTTCTAAGTTCTGTCCAAGGGTGCTTGCACCCGACGGGGTGACAGCGCCCCTAGTCAGACAATACAGGGCAAACGAAATAGAAATTAGCTGAGTCACAGCGCGGGACTCCGAAACGAAAACCGGTGAGTATGTAAATATTTTAAAGATAGTAATGTGTATTGGAACTATGCTAGCCAAACATTACGTAATGATTATGGTAGAGAAGTACGTGTAGTAGGTATTACAATGTGTGCCAGAGTATGGTGAATCAGTGTTCGTGATGATGAGGAAAATATGACGTGTACATGCAAACAAAATGATGATAATATCATCATTTTGTTTGCATTATCATGATACGAGAACGTCAGAGACGCTACACTATGACTCGTATTGCGTAGCTGCAGGCACCTTAAATTAATAAAACTACAGTTCTGTTTGGTGAAATCCAGCCCAAAGTGTGCATGTTGGGCTCCACGGTCCTGGGCACCTTGGCAGGGGTACGGACGCTGCTGGACGCACACATAATTATACCGACACAGTGGTGTAGTGGGAACCGGTCCAGGGCGCCAGCTGTATACCATGGGGTTGCATTTCACCTGGCCCAACTGTAGACCATGAGTGCTTGCGTGACAACCCTGCGAGTGCATTACGAGTGCACTGCGAGTGCGAGCATGACCCGCGGATCGTACTTGCTGTGCCAACTGCGTGCGCGATCCGCTCGCTTGCCCACACTACAATGTGAGAGTGCCCTGTGAGTACATTACGAGTAGATCTACCCTGCGAGGACATTGCGAGTGCAGTACGAGTGCACTGCGAGTGTGTGCAGAACCCCCGCATAGCACTTGCTGTGCCAGCTGCTACGACAGCACGCTTGCTTGCCTACGCACTGCGCCCATGCTATGTTGCCTGTCAGTGAACGCACAAACACAGCTGGCGTGCGATTCCCCCCGCCCTCATCCTGGCTCGCTAACTCTTACTTGAAGATCACGCAATAAAAAATGCTACTACTGATCTTGCTGCAACGTTTCTACTGGCTGGTCCAGACGTGTTGCATTGCGGTATGATTCATTGAACATTTTTTTTTCAATTTGAATAATTTCTTGTTGGTAGTTCTTGGACTGCAGAACATACACTATTGAGCTCTAGCTTCACTTTGTTTTTCTCATTACTAGTATTACAGAACCTTTATGTAACTGTTGCCAGGAATCCGGAGAATGTTTTACCGGTGAAAGAACTGTTTTGTGTGGCGAGGAATGTGCCGGTTGCAGGCAGTCATGTCGTGATTCTATGGCTGCAGCTGCACTGGCCAAACGTGCCGCCACCATTAAAAGTATAAAATTCTGCACTGCAACTTTTTGGACATTTCACGATTTTCTACATTTCAGCAGCGAATTGTTTTCAGCACGGAGTTGATACCAGTACATCACCAAAGCCGATGTGAACATTTTCAGCGGCGTTTTAATTTCGGCGTTTTGGCTCGGTGCCGAATATACCGGTGGCCGGAATTAAATAGCTGCCGGAGTTTTGCACGTGTGTATTAACAGTATGCAGGGTAGCTAACTCGACTGCATGTACTGTATCGGACCTGGAATTCCAGTCGATTGACCGGGGACAGCGCCCTCAGTGCGTACAGAACGCTGCGTGCAGTGCTCATGTTGATCCGATGCGACCAGAGCGCTGCGGTGCACAAATGCATGTGTGTGCTGCTTATCCTCGGCTGCATGGCCAGCGCCCTGGGGCCGCTAGATGTGCGACCGGATTTCCATGTCCACGACAGTACATGTGTATTGTACAGCCCGCTGCACTCTTGCCCAACCTGGCCGCATCCTTGCCATGGTTGTGGTGGCGATGCTGTGCAAACACCATACATGTTACTATTGTATGAGCCATTCAGCCAAGTGTACAGTATCAGTGTGCGGGTGAGTGAAGAAAGTAAGTCAAGTTTAGTGTCCGTTCCCAAAGGAAACACACGACGGCAGCTAACACCCGGCAAACCCTGCGGTGGAGCACTGTAGTTAAAACCGGGAAACGTTTTCACCGGTTTGAAGCACCTCTGCCCCTCCCCCCCCCCCCCAACCTTTCATCTCCAACCATGTACCGGCACTACTTCCCAGCAGTGTATGGCTGGCAATCTTGTGAACTCGGCTCCACCACTGGCACTGCATGAGCATACATGTACATGTAACAATTCTCGCTGTTGTAATTATTATTATTGAAAAGTAGTAAGTTCTCAATTTCGTCAATTTTTCTAGGAGATATTGGGGAAATGAAGTGGGAAATATGGTGGCAGCTGCTCGCGGCAGATTCCTTCTCAGCTACGTTAGCGATCGAGCACTGTAAAAAAGAAAGGGAAGGATCAGGAGTATGAAAGCTGTGTAAATATACTGATGTAGAACATGCTATCAGTGGCTACATGATACCGGTTCATGCCGGCGTAGTTGGGGATACAGAAGAACACTATCGGTATCACTTTGTTTACGTCCCCATAGCGACATGTCGTCATGCACCATGGTTACGCTCATTCATCAACGAGACGGTACGAAATAGAAACAGAGTGAGACTCTGAGAGGCAGGCAAAACGAGGAAAGCCAATAGAAGCGTCGCAGATAAATCGCGCATGCAGGTAGAGAAGAAGCGGCAACACGCACACCGTTCCTGGGCAGACAGAGCGAGCCGACTGGTTGAGCATGTGTGGTATGATCATAATTATGCTGCAGTGCAGCCAGCACGGAATCATCTGCATCAGGTCACGTGACATGTTGGCCAGCAGCTAGCTGTAAGATAGATGGACATTTTGGTGACATACGCATACGGGTGCACTATATTGATCTAGTCTGACTCTCGTCTAGTCCTAGGCTAGAGTCAGCAGGGCCGGCAGTGGTCATGGTGTTCCTGCCGCTACAAAAACAGAGCTACTAGTAGTCGAGTCACCGTGGAAGCCACGCACGTCCGCTCTAACCTCTGTAGCTGCGGCGACGGGAGATGTAGCGGCGGCGCGAAATGTAACGGCGACGGGAAATGTAACGGCGACGGGAGATGTAGCGACGACGGGAGATGTAGCGACGTCGATAGTAGCGGCGGCGATAGACAGAACGACGTCGATAGTAGCGACGGCGATAGACAGAACGACGGCGGTAGTGGCGGCGGCGGTAGACAGAACGACGGCGGTAGTAGCGGCGACGGTAGACGGAGCGGCGGCGGTAGTAGCGGCGACGGTAGACGGAGCGGCGGCGGTAGTAACGGCGGCGGTAGATAGAGCGGCGGCGTGAGTATCTGCCAATGAAATTAGACTTATCCGCCTCTGTGGCGGACATTTTCGAAGCGTCAGCTAGTGCATTCTTGCTCTCGCCGACTGCAGTATCCTGGTCTTCATCATCCTCATCGTCATCCTCTTCGGCATCAGCAGTATAGCTGAGGTCGCTCTTTGCCAATGTGTCGAGGCTTTTACCCAATTCGGCATCATCACTGCTGTCACCTTGGCTGGCATCATCGTCTTCCTCATCCTCATCATCGTCTTCGTCGCTGTCATCTTCTGAGGCTTCCGCTTCAGCCTCGTCGGTGTCAGTCTCCTCATCTTCGTCGCTGTCGTTGTCTTCATCAGCCAGCAGGCTTACCAGTGCGACCTCATCAGCATCTGCGTTGGCTTTGCTATCCTCCTCGCCCGCTTCCCTCGTCTGCACGCTCGCAGCTGTTTTTTCAGCTGCAGTAGGAGGGAAACAAAGGAGAGAGAGAAAATGTCAAAATTACCAGGCAATACCTTTCTGCAGTCCTGCTCAATGAAATCCGATCACTTGAGCGTGAGGAGCACCCCGGTCTAGTGTAGGGCTGCACGTGGCGTTGACTCGCTGGGTCGGATTTCACTGAGTATAGCTCTGGGCCTGGCTTAGATCAGAATACACTATACATGATTGTCATTGGTTAGATTGACAGCATGAAACAAAGTTGAGGACACTGTGTTCGGAAACAGTGACCTTACTACAACCTTCCGCGGTTGGCAGAGCCCCGGTCCCTGCGGACCATTTGAACCATATGGGTGTCGCACCAGGTTCTGACCCTCATTATGCTAGGGGGGGGGGGGGGGTAGGAGACTACTCCTGACGTCCGTCTTGTATTCTTCGCTCTCTTCTTTATGTCGTCCTGGTGGTCATGCGGTCACTGAAACCTCAACTTGTATAAAAACTTCTTTTCTTCCAACTTCTGCCCATGGCGTCCTTCTCTCAGCTCGTCAGCTGCCAACAGTTTTTTGTCATCACCATGACACTGTCGCGAGAAGGTGCTCTCTGTAGACGGGGTTGGTGATGTCCCGACGTGGCCAGGGGTAGGCCTTCACCACGTCGGAACACCCCGGCTACACGTTGGTCACGTCAACTACTTATGTTTGTAAATCACTTCGTTGTTAATCTTGCTGTGTAGGTTTTGTTTAAAAAAACTTGAGCAAATTGCAAGTGTGTCTTCTTTTACACAACAAGATCAACAAGGAAGTGATTTACATACATAAGTAGTTGACGTGACCAACGTGTAGCCGGAGTGTTCCGACGTGGTGAAGGCCTACCCATGGCCACGTCGGGACATCACCAACCAGTGAAACCTCGTTAAGAAGAACACTGATACGACAAACTTTCGCTTTAGAAGAACTAGTATTCATAACTGTATTGGATAGATAACAGTGTATTCACTGGATACAAAATAACGATAAGAAGAACTCCCGTTATTGCAAACAAATACCACCGGTCCCTTGGTGTTCGTCCTAAAGAGGTTTGACTGTTCTGTTTTTTAACCAGTGTTTGGTTATTTAATACCATGATTGCACATGCACGTGTATACAGTAAGATCGGGCGCCGAAGAACACCTTGCCGAAGAACACCCAGGCTGGAAAACCGGCTAAATTTAAGAACAGTCCAGGCTAGAATTATCAGATTTAAGAACACTTTTAAAATTTGGAACATTGTACATGTATGGGAGGTGAGTACATGTCATGTACACGTGTAAACAGTAACTGCTACATGTACAGTCATTCCCATTTACGACACCCACTAGTTTAGAAGTACTACATTGCACTACATCATAGTACATGTACATGACAAACGTCATGACGTCACTCGACTCGCCGCGCGCGTGTGAATAAGAACGGTCTGGCTAGAATCAAAAATTTAAGAACTTTCCTAGGCTGCGCTCGAGCCCCTGCGTTCTTCGGCGCCCGATCTTACTGTATGACATTCACAGCGGTGGTCCACTCGGCTACAGCTCTTGCATAGGAGGCCTAACAAGGTCGAAACAGCTGCGGTCCGGAGATTGAGCACAGTGAAACCTGTCTAGGACGACCGCTCAAGGGACCTTGAAAACGTGGTCTCTGTTTCCAGGTGGTCGTATCCAGGGTCATTCGACTGGAAATAGCATCCCTTACTCCTAGTTCCAGTGGTTTTCCAGGACAGGCGGTCGCCTTATCCGAGTGGTCGCCTTGACAGGTTTCACTGTAGTGTTAAATACAGATATTTAAACATATCTGTATTCTACTATTCTATAAAGCACTCGCAGACTCCATTGTAGCCACTCACACATTACAGGGTACCTCACTTCAAACTCTCCAACTACGCGTACGGTCTCGTCGCGGCACACGTTCACGTGAACGTGTGCAGCGAAGTTGGAGAGTTGGAAGTTTACCCTGTAATGTGTTCTACTACACAAGGCAGAACAACAGAGAGCAACAACTTTCCCGTGACTCCGAGTTTCGTGTTGAAAACACTCCGATCAGCACGCTCTGCTCTGCCCTTGTTAGGGTATCGAGCACTATATATGTACATGTATGCAGGAAGGACCTCAGACACTTTGTATTTTACTACTAACTAAAGACAGTAGAGTGTGGAACGTTACAACACGCAGTGTGTTGACCGTTCAGTTGAAGCGAGAGTACATTAACAAACAAAAAAGGTTTATGTCCTCAGGGTTGAAGAGAGAAACGAAGAGGTTACAGTCATGTGGTGTGGGGCTGGCGTCTCCCCTCGTGCATGTGCATAACATGGTGCGGAAAGGTGATGGCAGCATTGCTCTGTACACGCAGCAAGCAAGCACAGCTATGCAGCAACCGCGGTAGTGACGTTCTAACGTCGTTACATGTATGGGTGGCAGTCATTGGTCAATTCTGACTGCTGGCAGTGCAGGCGGAGGCCTTCGGAGACTCTCCAACATACTAGTAGCTAGTCTCAGGTGCTCCGGTCAAACAGGGTGGAGTGAAACATGGCTAATGGTGTATCATCTGTATCATGCCCGTCATGATTGTCTGTGTTATGGTTGACTTCACTCTTTAGTACTGGCTTTTCGTACAGTACCTATTGAGGTCTAGAGACATACTGTCTAGCCTTCCTCTAGTGCGCTTATTGATACACCATCCAGCTGTCCAGCGGCTCTCCTTCCCCCGCTCTCTATCTGCTATACTCTTCTTCATACTCTGTATGTTGGTGTCTTCTTTACAATAAAATCAGTTTTAAAAGTGACTGGCGAGTTCGAGACCACAACAGCTAAGTTCAAGGGACGTTCAAGGGACGTTCAAGGGACGTTTAAAAAATTCAACTTTAAATCATGGTCTATGTTATCAGGTGGTCTCCGTGTCCGGGGTCATGTAGCTGGAGATACATGTACATTATGTAGCATTCATTGGTCCTAGTTGCAGTAGTAGTCCGGGGCAGGTGGTCGCCTAATCCGAGTGGTCGCCTTTACAGGTTTTACTGCCAATGCGCACTGTACCTACTGCACTTGACCAGAAATGAACTTTATTGAAAACTTTGAAGGCAAAGCTCTGTTTTGCACAAATCGGGTGCGTCAACTGTTTTCTAAAGTAAGGTCCAGGCAGTGGCCTGACAAGCCAGACGAGATGCTACTGCTTTGTCATGGCCCTGGGTCATGCTGGGCGAGCTCTCGTGCCCTTAGGCAAGCGCACGGAAGATGATTACAACTTACAAGTACATTGTAGCAGCAAGACAGCTCAGGGGCTGCGGACTACTTGGTGAGACAGACATGCTCTTTTCTAAGTGGAACATGCACAGCAAGACAGCTCAGGGGCTGCGGACTACTTGGTGAGACAGACATGCTCTCTTTTCTAAGTTGAACATGCACAGCAAGACAGCTCAGGGGCTGCGGACTACTTGGTGAGACAGACATGCTCTCTTTTCTAAGTGGAACATGCACCGGCTGGAGGGATAGTGCCGAAAGGCGGGCTCACCACCCCATGTGTGGCAACTAACTTCCCCATGTCTAGCCCCCAAGACGATGTGAATACTATAGTAGTCATACTGGTCGACGTTGAAAAATAGTAGTAGTAGTAGCGCAAGATCTCGGGCTAGCGAGCTGCCTGTTTACATTGACGACGCTATGCACTACAGGCACGTGGTGATAATCACTATTGATAATTCAAAGTCAAGCAAGGTCTGTCCATGCAACTTTCACTTACAAGTACCTACCAACCGGTGCTTACAGCAACCACGTAGACACGGTGGAGTTTGGGTGGGCAGGCAGCCCCTGGGGGATAATTCGGGCGGACAATTACTAGCAGAATTTGGTACTTGTTACTTGTTATGGTACGATTCATGCATGTATGGCGTGTGGGTAAAGAAATGGAGCAGAATTCAAGGAAGTGCCTGCATAAGGTTTGTATGGTTCTGCCAATTTCGCAGCTCTTCGAGCAGAATCTGCCACTTTTGCGAGCATTATCCCGGCCAAGGGCTAGCTTTCGCACTGTACAGGTCGCTCTCCGCTCAGAGGAACTGTTCGCCGCACACGTGCAATGATGTACCTTTGGTCTAAGAATTCAATGGTTTGGCGTCAGAGCTCAAAACACCCTGGTGTACAACTGTAGGACTGTACAACCAACTCAGTCAGGATAACTTTCTTACCTTTGGCCTGATCGCTGTTGACCACTGTAGCACCTCTGCACAGTGGCTGGAAGGCGAGAGCTGCAACGAGCAGCAAGGCCGCCAGGCGAAACATCTTCATAGCGTCGTCGCTGATTCAACGACCACGGCCGAGAGTACGCGGGATGCTCACACCTTTTTCGTCTTTCTCTCTCGGACAGAGCGATAGGAGATCCGCCGCTCCTGTTGACAATGTGTGCACTGTTCGGTCTGAGTCTTCGTCGCTGTTCAGGGTTCTGGTGTTTGCTGGTTGGCCGGTATTCCGTAGGTGCGATGCCCGAGAGCTAAGACAGCAATCTACGATATAGGTGTGCACGATTGTACTGAAGTATGTATGTATGTATGTATGTATGTATGTATGTATGTATGTATGTATGTATGTATGTATGTATGATAGACCTGTTGTCCATCATCCGTCCCGTTACAATACAAAACACGTGCACTGGTATGGATGGATAGCTAGCTTTGCACAGCAAAACACACACAGCGCCTCTTAGCTTAGCAGTCCTGGCTGGGAACTGCATGGATACGAGGGCATGTCCCGCCGATTCCGCATTCCTACCGTCTGTGCCTGGCGAGTGCGACACATGTGGGGGCTGGACTGAAAGCTCGGCGAAATAGCCAAGCTGAGGTCTCCTACTAGTACTAGAACAGCAGTGTATGTCGCGTGTTTGACAGGCAGCAGCAGCCTGTGGGCATTCTGGTGTAGTGACGGTTCTGACGGCTCTGACGTGGAGGTGGAGCTGTCATTCTGTTCTCATTCTGGGTGCGGTGCCACCAGATGTCTCTGGTTGCAAACTTTAATTCACGGGAACGGATTGCATTGAGCAGCACTTTGCATGTACAGGCAGTTCGGTTTTCTCACAGGTTTTCTTTCCTTTCTAGTGCAGAGTTGGTTGTGGCAGGTGAAATCCGGACGGGGCCAAGCATGGGAGAGAGAGGCGGAGAGACTGTGGGACTATGACGGAGACAGTGGCGGAGACAGTCACAGAGGCAGCCTTGGAGACAGAGAGAGAGAGAGAGAGAGAGAGAGAGAGACTGCATCATTGGAATGGCTTGTTTCTGTTTGTTATTGTGGTATCATTCCGCTCTCGATCTCTCGTCTTGCTACAGGTACATGGACATGGCATGGAGAGGTGTATGAGCGCCGAATGAAGAGCTCACTACTTTATATCGGAATCCCATGGCCCAGCTACACTGTAGCTACTACTACAGACACACAGTTTACATTGCACAATGTCATGCAATTGTACAGCGATGATGTAGAGGGTATTGCATTCACCGTGGAATGCATAATAGTGTACTTGCATGCGGTGCATGTACAGTACTGGCAACTGAAATCCGACCACTGAGCGGTGGCCTCACATTCTAGCGGTCTCTATTTCGTAGTTTTACTATCCCGTGTTGGGTCTTTGCGATGTGAGCGCACCGCTCAGGGGTCGGATTTCAGTTGCGAGTGCTATACAATAGCAGAACGCACGTACAGAGCCGTGGACCATTACGTAAATACTTATATGACTATTTTAAATAGCGAACCAAAAATGGCAATTATTATTATTTTTTAAATATTTTAGGTTTGTGTGGCTGTCATCCTGCCAAGTCACCTGCTCAGGCAACAGCTAGGTATGACGCACGCACCTGCCTGCGACGTGGGGCAAACAAACAGAACAGACTTCGTCGCTGCTCAATGCAATCCGACCACGTGACCCATGTACACCGTGGTGGTAGCCTAGCACTTGTCGGATAAGGAGAGAGAGAGAGAGAGAGAGAGAGAAAAATGGGTATACATACAGGGACAGAGAGAGAGATAGACAGGCAGACATTCAGAGAAATAGAGCTCTCGTTGTTTGTATCCTCCGGCAATAGCATCATTGCCTTTGCAAAGTAGGGCCTGCATATGTATACCTGTGCTTCCATAACCCCACAGCTTCCGTACGTGAATTAGGGGCCGCACACACACACACACACACACACACACACACACACACACACACACACACACACACACACACACACACACACACACACACACACACACACAACACACACACACACACACATGGACGAACAGAGAGATGACTGTAGGGACAAACATACCGACTCGTTTTCTCATTTAAAAAAAATATTCAATGTAATGTTCTATGGTTGGTTCCTAAGCGCACCGGTCGTTTACTTATCCGATGTGCATAGGATATCAGGGTGCATGGGGGCTGGCCAAATTAATTTTTTTAAATTAATTCAAGCGTTGCAGGACAGATAATAGGATGAAACTATGGCAACGCTGAATGCCTCAGAATCGTTCTAGAGGGAGTCAGCTGGCGTCTGCTATATGATGAAGAGCACATAATAAATCGAGAATAGGGCCGCCGGGCGGCAGCGGTGAGGAGGAAAACTCTAGGCAACGAAAAATCATACACAAGGCACACTTCTTGGTGCCGCTTAAAAAAATAACCTGAGCAGCGTCGGTTCATCTAGACTAAAGGAAAAAACTTTAAGTTCCATGATAGACATGTCTATCCATCAAAATTCTGTGTTTGCATTTGCGCGTACATGTAATATGTTTGCGCGCAGATGCGCGCATGTGTGTGTGTGCGTGTGTGTGTGTGTGTGTGTGTGTGATTGTACATGTGTGTGTGTGTGTGTGTGTGTGTGTGTGTGTGTGTGTGTGCATGTGTGTGTGCGTGCGTGTGTGAGAGTGCGCATGGGGTCTAAAATAGGTAATGTCTATTGCTTACCAGTCGATTTGGAACGGGCCTGGCATTGGTGATAGTCACATAATTATTATTTGTTGTTTTGGAAACCGTTTCAATTGGGTAGTAACAAATCCGTACTTGTACGTGTGGTGTACGGAATCACAGATCTGCTCAGACGGAAAATATAAAACCAAAATAGGACATGACTGTGAGCTTGCCTACAAGTGCAAGAAAAGCTAGCCAATCCAGGTTGGTTGCTTTAGGATCTGCTGGCATTGCCCAAAGGCAGCCGACGCGTAAGCCGTGTGATTGCTCTCGCTCGCGCCGCAGACTGCGGTGCAAAGAATTGACTCGCTGAGCCGAGAGTCCATCTGAACGATATTCACACAGCGGTAGAGCAGTCGTGCCTGGCCTGGCAGCGGAAAGGACTTTGCGCAGGCATCCAGCATGGTTTTCACACGGCAACGGCATGCATCGTATGGCATGTAGTGAGTGGTTGCGAATGATGGCGTGTATTGAGCGTCCTCCATTGCTTGCTTTCTTGCCTCATGGGCTTCTCGGACTAGGTTCTTCACAATAAGCCTAAAGCCTGCACAATCAGCTGGCACTAGGGCAGAGCTGAATTCGGCTGCGTCAAATAGGCCTAACTGCTGAGATGACTCTGGGCACATGCTCATCTCGTCACACAGCACAGACATGGTGGCCCTGATCCCCGATAGCCTCATCGTGCCATTCTCCACAGGAAGCTGGGCAAGTTTTGCGCGATTGGAGAGGATAAAGTTCTGACATCTGACCAGGCGCATCAGAGGCTTGCCAAACAATTTGGAACACAGGTCAGCAGTGCACTTGACTAGCACAGCGTCGTCCAACTGCTTCCCGAGAAATCCTGTGGCCAGTTGTAAGCAGTTGAACTCAGATGAGTTCTCTCGCCGAGTGAGCACCAACCAGGCAGTGATAAGCTTGCACAAGCCGCAGCTGGATGAGAAGTCCTCAGCATCTCCCGGGTACGTACGGACGGTGGGGGGAACAGTTCTCGGGGGCTGCACGACCCGTCGTCTTGATCGAACCGGTTGTCTTCTCACTGGCTGTCGCCTCTTCGGCGGAAAACGCACAGGCCGCCTTGCAGCTCTGGCTTCTGGCCTTCTACTCGTCACAGGTAATGATGTGACAGCAGTGGCACTGGTTGTAGGTTTCTGCGTCCAAGATCGAATCCCAACAGGTGGCGGCTGCTGCAGTCCTAACGCGTACAAAAATAAAACAGCTGAGAATACCAACAGAAGACTTCCAAGAACGATGAGGCAGTGATGCAACTCAAGCCAAGCCAAGCCAAGCCACCGGATTCCAATAATCCGCGCAGCCCTTCTGAATCTCATTCGAGAAAAGCCCCCTCTCACGCAGGTAAGCCTGTGTTTTCTGTGTATATCGCAGCTGCAAATCGATACCGGGAGAAAGAAGGCCGACCTTATGTTAATGTCTACCATCAAGAGTATACTCTTGCTACCATGTACACTGTACCAACTGAGGCTCGAGGGCCGGCGAACCTCCAGCTACATTCTCTTATGCACACTGAAACAGGAAATAGACTCGCAATGCAATTATTATCCGTTTTCAGAATCACATCATAATCATAGACCTTATCAGTAGTAGACCTCTACGAAGTTCTGTACCATGACCGCAGGTGTGTACAGACCCAGTTGGGTGTTCATTGTGTGCTATATATAGCTAGCGCTATGCATGTGCATTTGTCCAAGTAATTATTAGTTTAGTGCAATCGCTTTTCAGCTTCTTCACTTTGGTTAGAACAAATGACTAGGTAGCTAGATCTTTGCCAGAATTGGTTTTCGTGTAGAATGCCTTCAGGGCCCATTTCTTAGTGGAAATAGCAGAACACACTATAGGGTCCTGCACATTCTACACCCAACCGGGTCTACAGGATTCTGCGAAATTCCGCAGGATTTCTTGCATCTGTACTGTACGATTACAACGTGCATAAGGCTTATTACACTGCACTGTAGTGGTACAATGCTTCCATAATTTTCAGCTTGCGCCAATTTTGGTCCTCCCCAGACACGAAGGGTCAAATTGTGACCCCAGTGTCAGGCCTGATGACCTTATTTGCCACCGACAGGGCATGGGCCCATGGGGCGGGGTCACAGTACTGGTAGCAGTAAGTATTAGTTTCTTAGCTGTATATAGTAGGTTCCTGCACGAGTACCAGCGAGTAGGTCTACGAGGGCAGTACCGCGGAATCCAGCCCGCGCCGCGATAGCGGCAATAACAAGGGCTGGATGAACCGCGCGCGCGGTACTGGCCGAGTACGAGTGACTGGAACGTGTTTCCCGTGTGCACCCAAGCCAAAGAGCATTAATGCACCCAAGCCAAATAAAGAGATACATGACATACACACCTGCATTGTGTTTTGTGATTGTTTTCTGGTACAGACAGTAGTAGTACATACGTAGTGCTTTTCTTTCTCGTGGTGACCATTGACATTGTCGACTTGGCATCGGGCATTCTGACTGTTCTGTTCCTACGGATTTTTCCCAGGGCTTGATCGGAAACCTCGGCAAATAATTGCGCGGGTCCTG